TTGATAAAATTGTGGACGATATTCTCAAGTACCTCAATATTTCTGATCCTCTCAAAAGCATTGTTCTGGCAATGCTTCCTTCTGTGAAGACCCTCTTGAAGCAATTGACATTGAAGTGGCCCCTCATTGCAGCAATCATTTCCTTCAATGGATAATTTTCCAAACGAGGTCGGGGATTTGATCACTGTTCTACAGTGGAATTGTCGAAGTCTCATTTCTAAATTAGATTCTTTTAAGTTTTTAGTTCACAATAATGATTGTGATGCATTTGCTGTTTGTGAAACTTGGCTCTCTTCAGATATCGATCTTCCTATTTATGATTTTAACATTATTCGACTGGATCGTGCGGATTCGCGTGGAGGAGGGGTACTTTTGGGGATCAAAAAGTGCCATTCCTTCTATAGAGTGAATCTTCCACAATTGCCAGGTATTGAAGTTGTCGCATGTCAGGCTATTATTAAAGGTAAGAGCCTTTGTATTGCTTCTGTTTATATTCCTCCTAGAGCCGTTGTTAATCGCAAACAACTTTCAGATATCTGTTCGGTACTTCCTGCTCCACGGTTGATTATGGGAGATTTGAATTCCCACGGTACAGGCTGGGGGAACTGTATGATGACAACCGTTCTACTTTGATATATGACCTCTGCGACAGCTTTAATATGACAATTCTTAACAATGGAGAAGTAACACGTTTGGCTGGCCCATCCTCGAATGGAAGTAGATTAGACCTCACACTTTGCTCTAACTCATTATCGTTGGATTGCACGTGGAATGTGATCCAATATCCCCACGGTAGTGATCACTTGCCGATCAAAGTTTCAGTTGCCAGTGGGTTCAATCCGTTGGAACCCGTTAACGTCGCATACGATCTTACCCGTAATATCGATTGGACAAAGTTCAAGAATGTGATAGAAGATGCCCTAACGTCGGTAGAAGGGCTTCCACCGTTGGAGGAATATAACTTCCTCTCCAATCTGATCTTGGACAGCGCGCTTCAAGCTCAAACGCGGCCGGTTCCAGGAACGTCTTTCCGTAAGAAACCTCCTTCCCCTTGGTGGGACCAGCAATGCACTGAGGTTTATCGTAAAAAGTCCGACGCGTTTAAGCTTTTCCGGAAACGTGGAACACCCGTACATTTCGAAGCGTACTCGGCTCTTGAACGCGAACTCAAGAGCCTCATCAAAGCCAAGAAACGCGGATACTGGCGGCAATTCGTGGACGGATTATCGCGCGAAACGGCGATGAATACGCTTTGGAATGCGGCGCGAAGGATGCGTAACCGGACTTCAAACAACGAGAGCGAGAAGTACTCGGATAGTTGGATTCTCAAGTTCGCGCGAAAAGTATGTCCTGATTCTGTGCCGGCACAGATGATTCCTCGCGAAACGACGAATTCGGTAGACGAGATCAGCCAGCCTTTTCAATGCTGGAGCTCTCACTCGCGCTCCTTTCGTGTGGCAATTCGGCTCCGGGGGCTGATAGAATCAAGTTCAACTTGTTGAAGAACCTCCCAGACGTCGCTAAGAGGCGCATGTTGAACTTGTTTGGTCAGTTCCTGGAGCTTAATATTGTTCCGGATGATTGGATGCGGGTGAGAGTTATAGCCATTAAAAAGCCTGGAAAACCCGCGTCAGATCACAACAGATCACAATTGTTGGAGAAAATGATCCTTTTTCGCCTGGACAAATGGGTTGAGTTGAACCACCTACTCTCAGATACTCAATTTGGTTTCCGTAAGGGCAAGAGAATGAACGACTGCCTCGCGTTGCTTTCCACAGAAATTCAGTTGGCTTTTGCTAAAAAAGAGCAAATGGCTTCTGTCTTCTTGGATATTAAGGGGGCTTTTGATTCAGTATCGGTTGAAGTCCTTTCAGACAAACTCCACGCTTGTGGCCTTTCTCCATTATTTAATAACTTTTTGTACAATTTGCTGTCAGAGAAACATATGAGCTTTTCTCATGGAAACTCTACAGCTTCACGATTTAGCTACATGGGTCTCCCCCAGGGCTCATGTTTAAGCCCCTTCTGTATAATTTCTACGTCAGAGAAATTGATAATTGTCTAAGTGACAACTGCACGTTGAGACAACTTGCAGATGACGGAGTAGTGTCTATGACAGGGCCCAGAGAGGCCGACCTGCAAGGACCCTTACAGGATACCTTAGACAATTTGCCTACTTGGGCTATTCAGCTAGGTATCGAATTCTCCACGGAGAAAACTGAGTTGGTCGTTTTTTCTAGGATGCATAGCCCAGCACAACCAAAGCTTCAACTTTTGGGTAAACCGATCACTCATTCTATGTCCTTCAAATATCTTGGGGTCTGGTTCGATTCAAAATGCACCTGGAGATCCCACATTGAGTATCTGAGACGAAAATGCCAACAAAGGATCAATTTTCTCCGAACAATTACCGGAACGTGGTGGGGAGCTCATCCGCAAGATCTTCTAACGTTGTACCGGACAACGATTTTATCGGCTTTAGAATACGGTAGTTTTTGTTTCCAGTCGGCGGCTAAAACTCACATCATCAAACTGAAACGTATCCAGTATTGTTGTCTTCGTATCGCGTTAGGATGCATGCACTCGACTCATACGATGAGTCTCGAAGTGTTAGCGGGCATGTTGCCACTCTCTGATCGGTTTTCGGAATTATCCCTCAGGCTCCTCACCCGTTGCGAAGTTATGAACCCACTGGTAATCGAAAACTTTGAAAAGCTTCTTGAGCTGAACCCTCAAACTCGTTTTATGTCATTGTACTACGTGTATATAACACTGGATGTCAGCCCTTCACAGCATAATCCTCATCGTGTATGTTTCTCCGACTTCGGCAATTCAGTTAGTTTTGATTTATCCATGACGCAAGAGATTCGCGGAATCCCAGAGCATCATCGTTCCATGATTGCTCCGTCAATTTTCGCTGCAAAGTTTGGCCAAGTTGATTCCGCAAGATCGTTCTTCACAGATGGATCACTAATAGAGGCGTCCGCAGGTTTTGGTATTTATAACGAATTTCATAGCGCCTCTCGAATGCTTCATGCTCCTTGTTCCGTATATGTTGCTGAACTGGCGGCAATACATTATACGCTAGAAACGATCGCCTCACTTGCACCAGATCATTATTTTATTTTTACGGATAGTCTCAGTGCTGTCGAGGCTATTCGCTCCATGAGGCCGGTAAAGCACTCCTCGTATTTTCTCATGAAAATACGAGAGCTTCTAAGTGCTTTATCTTTAAGATCTTTTGTCATCACCTTTGCATGCGTCTCATCTCATTGCTCGATTCCGGGCAATGAGATGGCGGACTCACTTGCTAAGGTGAGCGCTATGGAAGGCGATATTTACGATCGACAAATCGCCTACGACGAATTTTTCTTCATTTATCGTCAACAGTCACTCGCCAGCTGGCAAAATAAATGGAGTGAAGGGAGTTTGGGACGATGGTTGTATTCAATTATCCCTAAGGTGTCGAAGTGTCCTTGGTTCAAAGGTTTGGAGGTGGGTCGAGACTTCATTCGTGTGATGTCTCGCCTCATGTCCAATCACTATTCACTAAGTAACTAAGTGAACAGTAATCTCTGTGAATGTGGACAAGGTTACCAGGACGCAGATCACATTATTTGGTCATGTGCTGAGCACCGTGGAGTCAGATCCGAGTTGTACGATTCCCTTCGCGCTCGAGGTAGACAACCTATTGTTCCAGTTCGGGATATTTTAGCTAGACGCGATCTGGAGTTTATGCAACTCATATATGTTTTCTTGAAGTATATTAACCATAGATTGTAAGTTTGATTAACCTTGTGTTTAGTTTGTATTTTGTATGTGTGTGTGTGTGTGTGTGTGTTTTTTTTGTAGATTTGTTTCTGTAATAATTGTATAATTACAGAGTTGATATAACGTCGATAGGATTAAGTATATGTTTTAGAAATAGTGAAATTTTTGAATCATAAATCATATTCCAAATCTCCTTTTCCCTCTCCCGATCCAAACAATTGTCATCCACTAACCTCGAGAAGACCGCGAGTAATCGGTTCAAATCCTTTAATTTTAGATTTAAGACATTTATAATGTATAAATAAAATGATAACTTGACTCTGTAAAGTTTATTCGATTGAGCCTGTACAAATAAAGTAATTAACAAAAAAAAATTGAACCAAATTTAAAATAATCAACGAATTCTTATGTTAAATTTTCATAAACTTTATAATAAGTTTGTATAGATAAAATAAACATGATTGATAATGATAAAGTTGTACATTCATAAAAAACAAAAACACAACCAATAATTAAACTGACCGTGTGTAAGGTTTAATTACTTTTCCGAGTTTTTCACGGTTTTCCAGGTTCGCTGGCCAACCTAAACACTTTTTCTATTGATGTTCTAATGTGTAAACCTCGGGAGCAAGCACCTTAAAACTTATTCTGGCATTCCTGGACCTTTACTTTAACAAAGTGTGTTATTAAAAATGTCCTGATTACCTCCTCTGGACAATGGGCATCCTTAGATCTCAGCCGGAAAATATCGTACAAATTAAAAAAAAGACAATAATTTATTACGCGCTATCACTGGTATTTAAGGCAAATTGTCATAGTGCAGTCTTTCGCTAAGATATGGTCATTTAATAAAATTTGATCAGAATTAAAGCCTGCACAATTACAATACTTCCCATGATAGCGAAATAAACGCGCTTCAGCATCTCCATTCACCGGAGTCAGCTCTCGCAAAGCAAGCCATGATGCAATTCTCTTCGGATGGTCTTTTCTCACGAGTACTGTACTCTCAAGAAACTTTTGAGTTCCTCCGTTCAAGAAGAAACAAAACGGCACTCTCATGCTCGCAGGCTACTACGATACGCATAGCCCCCAAGCCTCGTACAAGACGAATTAGACTCCACACAGAGAGCTCAACTCAACGCTAGTGCCATAGCATAGCCATAGGCCACCCAACTTCTATTCTTCGGTTTCATTTAAACACTTTAACTGCCCCTGTTGCTGCTCCGTCAAAAACAGTCGCAAATCGATCGCGTTACGAGTCGCAGTGCGCATGTTCGGGGTTCCAAGTCCGTCGAGTCCGTCGTTCAAGTGAGGGTAATTCTCTCGAAATCACCACGAATCACGCGTTCAGTTCAACTGACAAAAAAAATCGCAGCCGATCGCCATCCTCTCGGTTTGGCGTTGAGTGAATGTTGGTTCCAGTTTGAAAAGTTTTTGGAAGGCAGACCAAATTTCTTGTGACCGGTGATCTGGAAAATCGGATTAATTAACTTAATTACGTGCGAGGAAAATCAAAATTGCCGCAGTGTCCGCCATTATACCTGGCGTTGTTTTTCGCAGTGCAAAACCTGAAGAAAATTGGGTGCCCGTGATCGAATCAAATCTCCATCGTTCGGTACCGGAGTTTCGCAACATAACCTTAGAGCAGCAGCATTGCACCGGAAGGAATGGTGCTACACGAGCAGATCATAGTAGCCACCGTGGTTGCTACGATACTAGTGACCTGCACTGGCGGTGGTAAGTTCTGCACGCGATTTCGATCTCGAAAGTAGAACAGCAATTCCGTTTACTATGGCACACGGCTGCCGTGACGACGGAAGACAAATCCTTGTAGATCAGCAAGTTCAATGACTAATGCGCTAACAAGAGCACCACTGCACATGACTCAAGTTCCCCGGGCGGTTTGTATCTTAATGGCAATGGTTCGTGCCGAAAAAAGCAAAACTGCATGATCAAGTATGTGCGGAATTATTAGGTAATAATGGTTTTCCTCTACCGGTAGCTCTAATGGCCAAGGTCAGGATGAGTTGGCACGATTGCATCTTCTCCCGCAGTAATCATTGTGGTTGGATATTGCAATTAAGTTACCGCCTTGCTTATTTTTGAACGATTGATGAATTACAATTTTGAACCCAATATGATTTTGGTTACTTTTTTTTTGCGAATCGAGTGTCAATCAAGTAGTCGGCGACAACTTATTGATAGAAACCTGTTCCACTAGCGCGACTAGCGCAAATCAATCACGTCAATGAACCTAAAAGTAGAGCGCTTTGTTAGTATAGATCAGTGATCTGTGGCACGTTCTATGGCGGGGGTTATGAACTGGATAATTTATGGTGCGGAAAATTAATGCGGAAGTACAATTAGTGATTCCCGAATATCCCGAAGAGTGCACTTGTGTTGTGTGATCGAGTAATTATTTGGCGGTACATTAAAATAATATTGTTGAGGCTTATGAAATATTAATTGAATATACTTACTTGGACTGAGTATCGGTAGACGCAAAATTCTAAATGATTCGTTTAACTTCAAACTGGTTTGGAAATTCTATCATGTTTTAACCAACGCACGTTGAGGCAGATCGAAGCAACCACTGAACTGTAGAACACGTTCAGAGCAGCAAGCGGTGAAACGACTTGATTAGCGATTTTTATTGAGTCTTTCAACCAAGAACGGATGAGCCCTACAGTGAATTCGATTAAATGGTACGAGTCCATTATACGCTAATCCTGTGGAAGATTATTAATAGCGCCAAGAAGAGAAGTAAATTGAAGCTTGTAATTTCGAGCGAGCAATGCTAGGAGCCGTCAATGTATACGGATAGGGTTTATGGAGTCATGACCGATACCGGAAATAATAATTTTCGCCAGCAATTTGTGCTTTGAAAAAATCTATCGCTCAGAAAAGGTTTCCAATTAAATCCAGGTTATGTCTAATCTCATAGAAAATTGGTCATTTTCATTTAGAAAAATATTGAAATTATACAAACACTGAACTGTTTTGATAATTTGTTGTATCAAGCCTATGCGTATCTAACGTCTTATTTTGAATAGTTTTCAAAATTCAACCATGGGAAATGCGCCTCTACCAAAAATTTGCTCCAGTGCATGTGCCAGTCATGGCCAATATGATTTGAAAGCGGTAGGGCCAAAACATTCCGTATATGGGATTGTGCCGTAACTTATGCACTGGCGGCAAAAGCACAACTGTCCCATATCTGCTTGCTTTTCTAATCATATGGGACAGTTATGCTTTTATGGTCAGTGCATATGCCATAGCTGGCTCAATTATTCGAGCGGTAAAAAAAATGCATTTGGTACTCAACTTCTGCTCAATAAATTGCATTTTGTCAAGTTTTTGAATCCATCAAGAAAATGAGGATTTCCCAGACAACCAGAATGCACATACAGTCAACTCTCCATAACTCGATATTGAAGGGACCATCGAGTTATAGAATTATCGATGTATAGAATTAAAATCCAGAATTATTCCTACTTACTTACTTAATGATCCTGCGCACCTCCAGGGGTGCAAAGGGCCTTTGTGAAAGATTTCCATCCTGGGCGATTACTAGTTTTGGCCTTGACCTGTGCCCAAGTCAAATTTCGGTCAACGTTCTTAATTTCACTGTTTAGGCTCCGCCGCCACGAGCCTCTGGGTCTGCCTCTGCTGCGATGTCCTGCTGAATTCCAGTCCAGTGTTTGCTTGCAGATTTCGTTTCCGCTCCGTTGTGGTCGTGTGTGGCCGACACACCTCCACTTCCGTTCACGAGTTTCTATCTCTATCGGCTTCTGATGGCACAAACGATGAAGCTCGGAATTTGAGATCCAATTGTGGGGCCACCAGGCGCGAATTATGTACCGCAGGCATCGGTTGATAAACACCTGCAGCTTCTGAGTGTTCTCCGCTGATACACACCATGTTTCACTGGCGTATAACAGCACAGACTTCACGTTCGAGTTAAAAATTCGGATTTTGGGTGCGTCGACTGATCTGATTCGCTCTCCATACATTTCACAAACTGGCAAAAGCAGCCCTCGCCTTATTAATCCGTGCACCTATGTCGCTCTTGGTGCCGCCGTCCGACGCTATCTGGCTGCCAATATTTTGGAAGCTTTCGACTTTCTCCACTCCCTGCCCAGCTACCGTGAAATTGGAACGTTTTTCCGTGTTGACATCCAACGATTTGGTCTTGTTGACGTTGATGGTTAGAGCTGCTTCAGAGGAGCGTTCCACAAGGTCGTCGAGCGTACTCTGCATGTCAGAGCGTCGTTCATCAGCCAAATCGAAGTCGTTGAGATTCTCCATGGTAATAGGCTGCCACAGCAACCCACGGTTCGGTACACGGTCAATGGCTCCAACCATGATCTCGTCGATTACGATGAGGAATAGTAGCGGTCATAATATACATCCTTGCCTCACACCCGTGATTACCCGAATCGGGTCAGACAAAGCTCCGTTGTGCAACACTCTGCATGAGAAAGCCTCGTACTGCGCTTCGATGAGGTTGACGATATCAGGGACTCCCTCGCGTCTCAGAGCGCCCCACAAGTTTCCGTGGTTTAGTCGGTCGAAAGCTTTTTCGTAGTCAATGAATACCAAGTACAGGGACTCTTGGAACTCATTGACCTGCTCCAAGATGATGCGGAGCGTGACAATATGGTCCACACAGGATCTTCCAGCACGGAATCCTACCTGCTGTCACCGAAGAGTCGCGTCGATCTTCTCCTGTATCCGATTGAGGATAACTTTACACAGAACTTTGAGAACAATACACAGTAACATGATGCCTCACCAGTTGTCGCATACAGCTGGATCCTTCTTGGGGACTTTTACCAAGACGCCCTGCATCCAGTCGGCCGGAAAAGTCGCGGTATCCCAGATGTTGACGAATAGTTGATGCAACATTTGTGAGGATAGCATGGGGTCAGCTTTGAGCATCTCTGCTGATATGCGATCGACCCCCGGGGCTTTGTTGGCCTTCATACTTCGGATGGCTGCTTCTATCTTCTGCAATGATGGAGCTTTAGTGTTGACGCGAGTAACGCGCCTCACCCTTGGCGGATCATGCCGAGATGTTGATGGTTGGTTGACCGTTGAAACTTCGAGAAGTTGTTCAAAGTGCTCAAACCAACGTTTCAACTGGTCAGTGGGGTCGGTGAGCAACTGTCCAGTCGCGTCTTTCACAGACATCCTTGGGTTCATCATTCCCCCGCTCAGGCGTCATGAAACATCATAGACAATACTACGGACTAACGCGCTTTCAAAGTCAGTGAATTGCGAAGCGTGGCGACGGATGAATCCAAGAACAGAGAAAGCTTTAGCTGTTATGGTAGCGATATGATCATTGAACCTCAGTTTGTGGTCAATTATAACACCCAAATCGCGAATGGACTGAACAGGTTCCAGAGGGGTTGTATCGATGGAGTAAACTGAATAATAGGCGACCAGCCACGACTGGACGTGACTACCTTTCACTTGTTGATGTTTACGCTCATTCCATTCTCGTTGCATCATTGTGAAAGCATGTAGATTAGACTGATGCAAAATTTGACATTTTCGCTCCACAGTGCACAAGCTGTTCCAAATCGGGTCTAGATTAGCCTCCCAAGGTTTGAACTGATTTGGTAAGAAACTGACTGAGCACAAACCATTTGAAGTTTATATGGGAATTACTATGTGGAAACCAAACTTTTTCTTCGTAGTCTTCTATCCTTCTTCTATATTGCACCGTTTAAAATTTCTACAGCTATTCTTATGGAAAATTTTCTTAGCTACAACTTTGCGGAATATTGTTTTTCAGCCAAACATCAATATAAATAGTTATTAATTGTTTAAGAGATTGATAATCTTATGGCATGATCAAGCAACTGTTTTGTGGGCAACACTGTATTCTGCAGTGTGACATAGTAGCCATGATGTTTTAGCTCTATTCTACGCGCCAGAAACACCAATGTTGCCTGCTGAGTAGTTGGTTGAGCATAATCATAAGACAATAGTGACTTGAATCATCAATAACTTTTGATCCTTAAATTTTATCGAAAACAAAGTTGTAGCTGTGAAAAATTACAACAAGTACAGCTATCAATTTTTACACCAGAGTAATAGGGTTAATTATTAGATAGATATGAATACAACATTTCCCATAGTAATTTCCATATAAACTTCAAATGGTTTGTGCCAAGTCAGTTTCTTACTAAATTACTTCAAATTTTGGAAGGCTAATCAGGAACCAAATTGGAACCTTTTGAACACTGTGGAGCGAAAATTTCAAATTTTACATCAGTCTAATGTAGATGTCCTTTTGTAGAGCCGCATAATTCAGTGCGGACTTGATTACCCTGAACAGCTTTAGATCGTCCGCGCATAAAAGCTTCCCGGACGACATACGAAGGCACAGATCGTTTATGAAGAGGACGAAGATAAGAGGGCCTAACACGCTACCCTGAGGAGCTCCAGATGGTATTTCGAGTGCTTTGGAACGTGGAGAGTTGTCCTGGACGGAAGCTTCACGACCAGTCAGGTATGACTTCAACCAGTCCGTTATCCATTCCGGAAAACCCATGTGTTTCAGCTGCTCCACGGCGTAGGTATGCGACACAGTGTCGCATAAATAGAATCAACCTGATTTCGACGTTCCATCTCTCGGAATCAACTGCTCGTATAACACATCAGATTAGTTGTTGTTGAGCGACGAGGAACAGACCCATGCTGGTATTCGTTTTTCGGCAGTCAAG